TCTATCAATATCTGCGGAGTATTTTTTTTAACGAGTATCCTATTTTCTAAAGCACAGCATGTAAAGGGTAGCTCGGTTAGCGAGATGCTAGCATGTAGCGCTTAGTGAGACACGCCTCAGACGAGTTGAGCAAAGACCCCGTCTGTGTACTTTATACGTGAGCAACAGATTTAAATAAAATTAACGTTTCAAAAGACAAACTTGAAGATAAAAAAAACAATATACTTACCGGAGAATCGCCAGGGTTTGCCGCTGCCATCTTGCCGCTCCTAAATTCAAAACTGCCTCTGCAGACAGGCAGGGGAGGCGTGGAAATTGTCTTTGAGTTAGTCAAACGTTTTCCTTAGTTCGAGTAGATGATAAAAGAAAAGAAAAATGAATGGGATTTTAAGTAGGACTAGGCGTTCTGTAATGATTTCTATTTAGGAGAAAAACTTTAAACCTTTAAACAGCTCTCTTTTAAAAGAAAAGATAAAAGAGAATAAAAAAGAAAAAAAAAGATCATGCTGTTACTGTTGTTGCCTAAGCTAGATGTTTTATAATGTGAAGACAACAAAAAATGTCGCTTTGAAAAATGTTTTTTAATTTTATTAAATTGTAATGATAGTAGAATATTATAAAATGAAGATCTTTTTGTCTTCAATTTATCATCTAGATCTATTTAAACCTTTAAATTTGTTTCCCATAATTTTGCTCACACTTCCTGTGTTTTAATAATAATCTGATCACATTGTGTGGTGAATCAACTCTTTTCATTTGTACAATTTCATATGCCTGAGTTCATTTTGTTACCACATTAATTTGAGGAAAATATAAAAGATAATCTGCTGCCTTGTTCTTTTTAAACTCAGCATTCTAATAGAAAATATTATGTTTGAGACCCTTGCAACCCTGAACTGGTTAACTGTTTTTTTGTTTGTTTGTTTTAGAGCATAGAGATGCTTGTCATCAGTGTTGGTCACATTTATGGAAAAGACCCCATTAATAAAGCATGTGATAACACCAAGGTGAACAGAAACACCGTCCAAACAACACCAGCTGTTAGCAGACTAATCTTTTCACACACATTTCCTTGAAACCTGAGGGCTCAGCAAATGATACTGTGAACTTTTTGGCACTAACAATGATGACATGTAGATGCACAAAGTATTCCAGCTTTTGTCTTGGAATACTTTGTCCAATACTGTTGTTGTTGTTTTTTCCGTATAGCATGCAAAGCTGATGACATGTTACACATATGCACATGGAAAATTCAGTCAATTTTGACAATGAGTTTTACAGCTGGGGTGGACAAGGTTAAGCATCAGGCTTTCAAATGAATTAAAAGCCTGTCTTGGTCTTTCGTTAATTAATAGGCTGGTGTGAAAAATTGCTGCCACACCGCCCCCTCGGCCTGTGCTTCGAGATTTCTGGTAGTTAGAATGACTCGGGGGTGTTGATTCATTTAAACTAACATAATCATCCTGCTGCAACCAGGTTTCTGTAAGGCAGAGTAAACCGATTTGTTGATCAATTATTAAGTCATGTACTAACAGAGACTTGGAGGAGAGAGACCTAATATTTAATAATCCACATTTCACTGTTTTACTCTTTGGTTCAGATGTGGATACTTTATTGTTCTTTCTTTGTAATTGTTTATGTTTAAGTTGTTTGTTGCTGGTTTTTAGTTTGTTTTCTGTCTGTTTGGGAGCTGACACAGTCTCTATGGAGATGGGTTTTTGGGGGGGTAGCAGGAGGAGAGAAGCTGCAGAGAGGCGTGTAAGACTGCAACTCTGCTTCCTGGTCCCAACTCTGAATAGTCATATTTTGGGGGGTTTAATAAATTTGTCCATATTTCTAGAAATGAGAGCTGCTCCATCCAAAGTGGGATGGATGTCGTCTCTCCTAACAAGACCAGGTTTCCTCTAGAAGGTTTGCCAATTATCTATGAAGCCCACATCGTTTCTGGGACACCACTCAGACAGACAGCAATTTAAGGAGAACATGCGGCTAAACATGTCACTCCTGGTCTGATTGGGGAGGGGACCAGAGAAAACTACAGAGTCCGACATTGTTTTGGCAAAGTTGCACACCGATTCAATATTGATTTTAGTGACCTCCGATTGGCATAACCGGGTGTCATTACTGCCGACATGAATTATGATTTTACCGAATTTACGTTTACCCTTAGCCAGCAGTTTTACATTTCCTTCAATGTCGCCTGCTCTGGCCCCTGGAAGACAATTGACTATGGTTGCCAGTGTCTCTAGCTTCACATGTCTGAGAACAGAATCCCCAATTACCAGAGTTTGACCCCCGGCGGGTGTGTTGCCGAGTGGGGAAAAACAGTTAGACACATGAACAAGTTGGTGGTGTACCTGGGGCTTCTGTTTAAGACTATGCTTCCTCCTCACCGTCACCCAGCCACCCTCTTTCCCCAGCTGCTTGAGGTCTGCCGGGGAACAGCTAGCGGGGCCTATGCTATCTTCGGCTGCACCAGCTACAGGGGCCTGGCTAGCTACGGGTGAATGAAGGGTGCGAAGCCGAGTCTCCAATTCAGTAATCCTGGCCTCCAGAGCTGCAAATGTGCTACATTTGTTACAAGTATCATTACTGTTAAAGGAGGTTGAGGAGTAACTAAACATCTGACACAATGTGCAGGAGGGACAGGTGAAGTAGCCATGGTGTTAACGAGTCGGCTACAAGCTAAGCTAAGCTAAACACAGTGAGTGAATACTTTGGCTATAAATTAGGTAGTGAGTACACAGAAAGTGTGCTTCGGATAAAGCACGTGAAGATTATACTATGAAAAAATAATGTATTTAAAAGTTTTTAATTAAATTGCTAAGCAGATGAGCTTAGAAATTTAAGTTGTGTAGTGAAAAAGCCTGAACAGACTCAGGAACACAGTCCATTGCTATATACACAGAGGATATACAGACATCGCTGAGGATTGCATAAATGTGCTTCATCCAATATAAAATAGATCCTCACAAGGCTGACTGTGTCGATCCAGGTATCCTGGCTAAAATGTAAATCTACTTTTCCTTCTCCACAGCCTCCAGCAAAGCCATGGACTCTAGTGTGCCTCTCGTCCTTTTGCTGCTCATGTGCAGTTCAATCATGGTCGAAGCCCAACTCAAGGTGTATGATCTGCGAGCCAGCAATCTTCCCACCGTTATCCTATTAACCACAGATGCCTATGTCACGGTGTCCTGTGGTTCTACTTCTCTGGGTAAAACATCTGTTCGCTACAATGACCCGAACCCCTGGTGGAATGAGGAATTCTCCTACTTCTATGCTGAGGAAAATGACATGCTGACTCTCGAGGTTTATGACTTGGACTTGGTCTTTGATGATCAGCTGGGAGTCTGCCAAAGGCAGCTGAAGGTGGGAACCTATCAGCATGACTGCTTCCTGACCAAAGGCGGGACTCTCCATTACACTTATACTCTTGGTTAAAACAATCAGTAGGCATGCAGAGATTTGTATGACAGCTGATGTCCATAGGCAGCCTTCATTTACCACAGCTTAACAATGTAGACTGTTATAGTAGATCTGAAATCCATTTTCAGGGTTTTCATCATGCTCACATTAACCAAAAATGTTAAACCTCTTAAAGTCTGTAAACTCTTTCTACTACACTTCAGTACTGCTGCTCTGTTTCACCAATCAAAATAAAGTTTCTTGCAACAAAAGAGCATGACTAAGCAAATGTGTGACTTAATAAGAGAAATTACATTGAGTATACAGTGGCTGACAAACACAGTTTTGACGAGAAAAAGTGAGGAATGATAAGATGTGGCTGGACATCAGGTCAGCAATGGTGATTGGATGTCCAGAGAGGAGGAGAGACGGGTGCATAGGAATATTCAGTTTATTTCTTCCTCTGGTTTTTTCAATGTGCAGAAGAAATCATCTGAAGATTCAGTTCTGGCAACCAAGAAAGTAATGTCGTGGCAGATTTCTTTTCTCATGTATTAATCACATATTTCAACCATATCACTTTAGTATAGTAAGAGCACTCCTGTCACCAGTTTGTATGCATGTGGAATGTGATCGTAAGTGGGGCTCAAGTTTTATTGCACCTCCACATCAGACTCAGGGCTCTGGACATCCTGTTGCAGATGAGGTGATGGTTGGTCGGAGCTTTTCTTAGACTGAACAGTTAAGGATCTGCTAATAGTTGATCTGCTGTGGAATGTTCTTTGTTTAAGAGTGTCTGTGTCTGCGTATATAAGATGTAAGGGCGGTGGCCACAATTCAGAGATGGTCCTGGTGTGGTTTAATAAACACATTGCAATGTGTTTATTAAGCTCACTTCAAATCAAGCTCACTGGATGTGTTGCAGGTTATTGTTAAATTTTCCACAACAATTACCAGGAAAATAATCACATTGTAGACCCGCTACTTGGATTTATGATTTTTGACTTTTTCTTTGCTCACATCTTAATAGTTCATTGTGGCGGTGTATGGAGGCAAAAAACAAACAAACAAACAAACAGAAAAACAGTGTAGTTGTCCAAAATTATAGCCCTTACTATAGATTAACTGTAAAATGGACTCCAAGAAAGAAAGTAACAAAATAAAAATACGTATATAGTTAATATCTAAATATTATTTCCTTGCAACAAATATATTTCCTTATAACATATATATTTCAGGGGTATCAAAAAAGTTTTGGGATGTTATAATTCCTTCAAGTTGTGCAGGTGCTCCCACATTTCTTGTATATATTAAACAATTAAAAAAGGAAAAATATCAGATGCAAAATATTACTCAAATTTTATTTTAATATGTTGATTTTATTCTGTTTGTGAGACAACTTAAAAATAAACCGCATCATTCCACTCTGGTGTTTATTAGACTGAACTGAATTTCAGTCACATACCTTTTTAAACTTTCCCCTTACTCCTGCTTTCTTACAAATACTTCTGTGAGGCTTTGAGCAAAATGCATCAAACCACCACTCCAGACTACCAGCTTCACTTTTTTCTCCCATCCTCACACAGTCCTCTCCATCAGGATGTTCTCCATGTGTCCCGTTCCAATTGTCTGGCTCCTTCATCCTCCAAAACGCCAAACTAAGATATGAAGAACAGACAGAACTGGTTCAGTGAAAGTTTAATACAGGAAATTAACAAATATATTTTCACAACAATCAAACCTTTGATTTAGTTGTGACCCATCCACCCACAACCATCTGCCCTCTACTGCTGAGTCTGTCAGTCCGATCCAGAACTTGTCCTCAGCTTCAGTCATTACATCTCTCAGTCTTCTGTTCAGGAAAGTCTGATCAGTAAAAGAAGATTAAAATTACCTTGTTATAATTTCTGTGATGAGAAGGTGAAATATAAAGATGTGCTAAAACATTTGAGAACGTGAAAAGTGTTTCATACCTGCTCCTCCCTGCTGTCTATCTTAACCAGGTCTCCTCTTTTAGCTCTACACTCATCTCTGCTCTTGTTCCAGGATGATTGACTGATGGAGAAGTAATAGCACTTTCCTCCATGTTGCTCCCAGCCTTCTTCACATTTATAACATGCTTGATCTTTGAAGAGATTACAGCAACGACTTAAGTCAGGTGGATGAAATCACTGTTCATGTTTGTGTGATTTGGAGGCAGCAGGAGGCCAACCTTTTTAAACAATGTGTACACTATAGAGGGCGAGTCAGTCAGCAGTCCAAAAGTTTAATCCAGCGTTGCAACGTTGGAGTCTCTAATGCTTACATCCAAGCTCCTTCAACTACAATGGCCTAGATCACTGAGAACATTCACATACGTTTACCTGAGACATTTGTGTTTCCACTTTCATTTCTGTTTTGGAGATCATCTTGTTTTTTGAACATTTGCTTCAATCTTATGTTGTCAAACACTGATTAAAAAAGAAAAATACAAATTATTCTGTGTCATTTTTGTTTTTGTTTTACTTAAATAAGACAGATTCTCTTTTTGAATTCTTTCAAAATGTTCACAATTTTACAAAAACAGCTCTTAAAAAGTAAAAAGAAAAGTTGGAAAAAAAACCCACATTATAAAGGCTAGTTATAAATTATACACCATGTGTATTTACTAGTAAGAAGAACTAGCATCGCATCCACTCACCAGTAACAACAAGACCAATGACGGCAGCAGCCAGTAGACCACTGACAACCAGCAAGGCCAATCTCTCTGTGGTGACCTTTGACCTTTTGCTCAACACATCTTGTTGGTACCCCTCTGAAAAGTTAGCAGAGAAAGAAATGTTATAGAGATGTGGAAAAAGTTAATAAATGTATAGTTTATACAAACCACACATATAAAATAATCATACTGATTTAAGACAACGATGACCTTTCAACATGTTTGAAAAATTATAAGTAAACATCAGCTACTATAAGGAGAAAAAGAACAGTGACCACAGTGGTTTGGCACTTTAATAAGAAGTCACCCGCTGACACATTAGTGAACAGCAAAAATGTTCCTCAAATGACTGTTTGAGGCTTGTTTCAAAAGAAAGCCATTCCCCATGTTTACAGCCTTGTTCAAATGTCAGTGCAAAATAGATTAAACTGTGAAATCTGATTATTAAAGAAAGTCTCTAGGTTCAGTAAAAAAAATGTAAGCAAGTGTGAAGCAGATATGATCAACATTTTTTAAAATGCAAAATAAATTGCAGACATGGGCACACAGAGACACCCACCCACACGCTAAGCGAGATCTCACTCCTCAGAGCAATTTCCTCTTCTTTTCTTTTTTTAAATGTTGACTTCTCTTTCACACTTGCTAATTAGAAACAAGTATGAACTATATGAATAGAAATTCACCACTACATATGTTGTATGACTTTACTGTACTGCATTATCTTTGTTCAGTTGTCTGATGCATGTAGTTTAACATTTATCACCATTTATCATATCTCACATTTTACTTTTCTTAATTTCAGTTCTAGTTATTTATTTATTTAGAGCCACATTTCATGATTGTGTCTGAACACAGTCCGTCCTCAAGGTTTTGATGAAAGTAGAAAGAATTTGATGTCTTAGTGTTAGTGGTGAAAAAGATTTTTATTTATTTTTCAAAGAGTGATTGACCAATATTTTTCTGAGATATTGTATTTTGACAGGTGAAAAACATTTTGACTGGGTTTCTTTTTTCAGTAAAGTCACACTACTTCACTCTATTAATTAACTCTGATTGAAAGCACACAGCAAATTCAAAAGTGTTAAATGTTTTGGTGTTAATAGTCTTCTTGCAAAAGTAGAGTTAATTTTACTCTAAGTAGAGTCACATTCTTTTAATGTAACTCTGAGGTGTAAAATGATAGTAGTTAAAATCGAGTGTTAAAAATGAGTGTTTCTCTGTCAAATCTGGAGGTGTTACAATGGAAACATTAACTCTTGACCTCTTAACTCTGAACTCCTACAGGAGCTATGACACCAACAGAGTAAATTCACAGACTCCGCCCACAGCACCATAGGCTCCAATCGAAGCTGAAGTGAAGCCGTTTCAGAACATTTTGCTCTACATATTTGAGTTGTTTGCCATGCTTGGTAAGTCATTTTTTCAAAGATTGTTTCAATTATTTCTATTACCTTTTACTTCTGTGGCTCTTTGGAGTTGAGACAAAGCTGTGTGAAAGGCATTAGCCATGTTGCTCGGTGATAGCATAATATTCTGTTTTAGCTAGCTGAAAGGTATTGTTTGCGGGCAAATACCACAGCCTTGAAAAAAAGCTTGCATGTGAATTTTCAGTCAAACTTTTGGTCAAATACACCTAAAACAATGTGTAGAATGTGAAATGTTGGTATAATGGTGCTACTTGAAGCCTGAAAACGATCGCCCATAAAAAAAAAACAAAAAACTAGCAAACAGCAGTAGCAGACGTCCTGACTGGATTCTACGTTAGCATAGATCCCCCCAGAGTTTTGTGCACACGGTTTAGGTAAAAATTAAAAAGGTTGAGGTTTTACATTTAGTTCAGTATTAACTGTTGCCTGTGTCTTTGTCTTTTGGGAAAATACTTTACACAAGTAATGGCTCAAAGAGGATTCCTTTTTCTTTTTTTTTTTACTGTGCTGCAATTGATTACTGGATTATTTGTGCCATTAATTAGTGTCAACTAATTTTTATTCAATCTCCGCACAGGATATGCTTGTGAAGATGGAATATGGGGGACAGCAGAAGTACGTTGAAGTTTCACAAAGGGATGAATGAAGGACATGCATATTGTATTGAAGAAATAAATGTTGAGAATGCTGTTATTTGCATTTACCAGCTAACCTATGTCAGACCTTTTGATAAACACAATTCTAATGAAAGTGAGAACATGTATACTGTTACATCTTTCAGAAAATGTTTTGAAATTGTGGTGCACAGTTCAGAATAAATGTTTTTCAAAAAACATTGCGTCTTTTTAGTAAATGTTTATTTCCAAAAGAAATTTCTAGAAGTTCAGAACAGTAAAATTCCCGCTTTTTAGAATTAATTAGAAGATAACTCTTACATAGTTAAACTAAAATACTCTTTGAGAGTTAATATATAAACTCTTAACACCAAGTGTTAAATTATCAACTCCAGACAGATTTGGTGTTTAACACTAAATCAGAGTTAAGGTACCAACTCTCCAAAAAGAGTTAAATTAACACTCTCTGGTCTGGACCCATATAGACACTTTAATAGTGTTGAAATCAAATCCGACAGTGTTAATTTGGACATGCTGGATTTGCTGTGCAATACTGCAAAACACACACACACACACACACACACACACACACACACACACACACACACACACACACACACACACACACACAGTCTGCAATCTGCATATGCGTATTGTATTGTATTGTATTGTATCTTTATTTGTTTCAGACATATAAAACAAAAAACAATATATACACACTACATATATTTTCATTTACAGATACGAATATATATGTAGATATACACACACACACACACGTATGTGTTCAGATAAACAAAAAATATATAATGAAATAAAACAAAATCGTCTGACATAATGTAACAATGTTTGGTCTGAAAAGGAGTAGGAAGAAGTATGAACATACTTATTAATTCCTACCCCTGCTCAACATCTTATTGATCCCACATAATTCACCTAATTCCCATCATCACATACTCCACACGATACACGAGGAGAACCTATATAAACTTGGCTACCGTGACTGATATAATTTGGATATATCTCGTATTATATAACACAAGATATAACTATGCAATCAAGAAAATCTATCATTACTGCTCCATACTTACCAAGTGACTCTGTTGTGGACCGCTGAGTCTTTGAGATTGTTACTTCAGAGTAAGTGGTGTCAGGCAACGAGGAAATGACAACTGTAACAAAAATATGAAACCAGATTTCTGCTCAAAGTGATGAAGCCTGGTGATTAAATGCAGGCAAAAAAAAAAGAAAAATAACAATTTTTAGGAGATTTTCTCCAATGATGAGATAAACTCACCATTAGCTTTCTTCTCTCTTGTAAACTTCACATCAGAGTATAGCACTCCAGCTTCAGACATTTTACTGTTGTGTGACTTTCAGTGAGTCTGAAAGAAACTTTTCACAAGATTCAAAATAGAAAGCATTTCCTGTCAAACAGAAAGAAGAGGAGGGCTTTAAAAACCTCCTGCCACAAAATGATTTCCGGTCTCTTAAATTCACAAACAGACATAATCCAAAATGAATTCCTATGACAAGAAATTTTCACATTGTCCAGTGTTGGTCTCGTGTCACAGACGTTTCAGGCTGACTCTGTCTAATGGAAACAGAAAGAGTCCTGTCCACCACCTTGATCTTGGGCTCAGCTTTCATTACTAACAAAATGGTCTGACACACACTGGTATCTTGACACAATCTCCCACTGATCCATTCAGCCACAAAAATCCAGCATATTCAAGTGCAGAAAGTGGACACAACAACATAAATAACTCTACAACATGAAGCTGCCAGACACAGAAATTAAAACCAACCAGACAGGAAGCACAAGACTTGTTGCATCCGATAACAAATAAAAAAAAACACACACACACACACACACACATAGTTAGCAACAGTTCCTCAGTTTGTTCTGCTGTTGACCTTTGCCTTAAATGCTTGAAACTTTCAAAGCTAATTGAGTTCTCTCTTTTTTTCTATAGTCAAATGATATCATTGGTTTTAGTTTTACGTTATTTTAAGTTACAACACTGGCATGTACACAGAGCTTTTCTAATCTTACAAACCACTCAGTCTACTTACACTACAAATAAGAATGCAGGCAGTTTAGAGTAATAGAATAACCTAAAATGCAGATCTGTGGACCGTTCGTGACGCCATGTTAAAACTGTCTCTCCATTGTAAGAACTGTAGTCCTGTAAACATTAACTTTTTATAAATCATTTGACAACCAGCAGAAAGTTTTTGTAGTATTTAGAGCCATAGTGAGATATTTCTTTAAACAATGTATTTTTATTAAGAGTTTTTTCTTCATACATATAAACAGAAAGAGAAGGGTTACATATGATCTATACATTTGGGGTAGTTAGCCCAACACTTCCCACTTAGCAAAATTGGTATGGCCTAGATCTGGCCCACACAATGTGCTTACACAAGGCCCACATACCGCAAAGAATGACAGCCCTTTGGTGGCCCAGATCTGGTTTGCCAGATGTGACCCCACACATGGGCCAGCACAAGGCCACTTGCAGACACACTGGTGGTTCTGTGTTGGCCCATGTGTGGACTACCTCTGGCAAACCTAATCTTGGCCACCAAAGGGCCGTCATTCTTTGCGGTATGTGGGCCATGTGTAAGTTGTGTGCAGCCACGGACCAGTTGTAGACACACTGTTCTGTGCTGCCCAGATGTAAGCCTATTGTGTACTTTAATCAAGCCATGTCATAACAATATGTGCCAGAACATGCAAAAGTAACATGATGAAACTCAGTGAATGGACTGACTCTTATATAGCACTTTTCTAGTCTCCCAGATTACTCAAAGTGCTCTGTACAACATGCCACATTCACACACTTTCTCTAAACTGAAAGAGACTGGGACAAGAGACAAGACCAGCACATGTGGATCAGTGAGGCTTCAGCAGTTTTGCATCTGTCACAAACAATATGGAGAGAATTTAGGATAGATACAAGTTAATCTGGATTTTGAGAAATGGGTTCTTTGCACCACTGCAAACTGGATTAAACCAGGGCGGGCACATAATGATGTTGTGTTTACGTGTTTGAATATGGAGGCACATGTTTCGTCAGAGATTGTCATGTCTAAATCTTCTACTACAGTGTCTTGAGTTTTGATGAGGTATGTGTCAAGTTTCATAGTAAGATATTTCTTTAAAACAGATGGGCATGCTGCCCTCTTCTGGTGTAAGTACAATTTTATTTATATAGCACATTTCTAGATAAAAGATCTCAAACTGCTTCCCAAAGTATAAAACAAAAACAGAAGTTAATAAAATGCAATTCTAAAAAGATGTGTTTTTAGTTGTTTTTTAAAAGTGACCACTGAGTCTGCAGATCTTGAATTCCGAGGAAGAGAGTTCCACAGTCTGGCGGCCACAGTGGCAAAAGCTCTACCACCCTTGGTTTTCAGCCTTGTATGCTGAATAACAAGTAGGCCCTGTTCACAAGGCCTCAGGGACCTACTAGGGACATAGGGCTGTAAAAGTTCAATGATGTACGCTTGTGCTTGTCCTTGAAGAGCTTTAAATGTCAGAACGAGTACCTTAAAATGGACTCTAAATTCAACGGGGAGCCAGTGCAGCTGTATAAGCAACAGTGTCACATTGGACTACTTAGATGTTTTTGTCAGAAGCCTTGCAGCAGCATTTTGGACAACCTGCAGACGCTCCAGGGAGTTTTTGTTTAGACATGTAAACAGTGAATTACAGTAGTCCAATCGTGATGAAATGAATGCATGAATAACAATCTCCAGTTCAGTATGAGATACTATAGGGCTCAATTTAGAGATGTTTCTTAAATGATAGAAGCAGGAAAGAACCAGAGATTTGATGTGAACATCCAGAGTAAGAGCAGAATCAAAGGTTACCCCGAGGTTCCCGATAGACGATTTCACAAATGTTGAAAGAGGACCAAGTGTCACGGTCCGCTGTGACGGACCGAGTGGAGAATGCGTGTAATGGACCCAGGTGCGTACACAAGTGAGCAGACGGGAGTGAGCTTTAACAGAAGGCGAGCCTTTAATATGGCTGAAAACAAGGTGTACAAATACAGCAGGGATAACGTGGCTAAACAGAAACCTAAACTGGGAACAAACGATGGTGAGGCTATGGCTTGGAAAACAACAGACCAGGCATGGAAACACGGAGGGGGGGAACACAGACGACGCGACACAGACTGTAAGAAACACAGACTAAATACACATGAGGGATGATCAGGGGAAGTGGCCACACATGGGAACGCAGCTGACAGACATGAACTTAACGACAGGACAGGAGGAGTGAAACTGAATACACAGACAGTGAATGCAGGCCTTCAAAGTAAAACAGGAAACATGAGACACGAACCGGGGAGACGTAGTACAGGGGGAGGTGACAATACTGACAGCATGAACTTGACAGTACAAGACGCACAGACATAAACACACGAAGGGCAAGGGAGACGTAATGCAAGGGTGATATATACAAATGGCTGGACTACCTTAATGAACCTAAACAATCAATAAACATCAAAATAGACCAAACACAAAACACCGGGTCACACGACCCAGGACCATGACACCAAGAGCATTTATTATGTTAGGTACATGTCTGTCCGGAGCACATACAAGGACTTCAGTCTTTTCTTCATTAAGTTGAAGGAAGTTGTCAGCGATCCAGCCTTTGATGGATTCTAAGCACACATTTAGAATCTGCAGCTTAGAAACATCTTCAGGTTCAAAAGAAATATATAACTGGATGTCATCTGCGTAGCAGTAGTAGCAAATGTCCTCAAAGGGCTCAAAACATGCTGGAGAGGAAGTAGATATATTAAAAACAATAAGGGCTCCAGCACAGAACCTTGTGGCACACCATAAGACAGGGATGTGTACTTAGAGACCGCGAAAGAAAAATATTGTTCATAGAGATACTATGAAGCAGAGTTGCAGTCTTACACGCCTCTCTGCAGCTTCTCTCTTCCTGCTACCCCCCCAAAAACCCATCTCCATAGAGACTGTGCCAGCTCCCAAACAGACAAAAACAAACTAAAAACCAGCAACAAACAACTTAAACATAAACAATTACAAAGAAAGAACAATAAAGTATCCACATCTGAACCAAAGAGTAAAACAGTGAAATGTGGATTATTAAATATTAGGTGATCAATTGATCAACAAATCGATTCACTCTGCCTTACAGAAACCTGGTTGCAGCAGGATGATTATTGTGGGTGATTTTAACATCCATGTAGATTCTAAAAATGACAGCCTCAACATGGCATTTAATCTGTTATTAGACTCAACTGCTTTCTCTCAAAATGTAAAAGAACCCACCCACCACTTTAATCACACTCTAGATCTTGTTTTAACATATGGCATAGAAACTGAACATTTAACAGTGTTTCCTGAAAACCCTCTCCTGTCTGATCATTTCCTGATAACATTTACAATAATTGATTACACAGCAGTGGAGAGTAGACTTTATCAAAGTAGATGTCTTTCAGAAAGCGCTGTAACTAAGTTTAAGAATATAATCCACCCACTGTTATCATCTTCAATGCCCTGTACCAACATAGAGCAGAGCAGCTATCTGAACGCTACCCCAACAGAGGTCGATTATCTTGTTAATAATTTCACCTCCTCACTACGTATGACTCTGGATACTGTAGCTCCTGTGAAAACTAAGGTCTCTAATCAGAAGTACCTGACTCCGTGGTATAATTCTCAAACACGTACCCTAAAGCAGATGACTCGTAAGCTGGAGAGGAAATGGCGTGTCACAAATTTAGAGGATCATCATTTAGCCTGGAGAAATAGTTTGCTGCTTTATAAGAAAGCCCTCCACAAAGCCAGAACATCTCACTATTCGTCACTGATTGAAGAAAATAAGAACAACCCTCAGTTTCTCTTCAGCTCTGACTGTTTTGGAGTGTAATTTGTTTCATAGTTAGATGCCTGACTGACAACTGTATAAAACGAAAACTACACACAATATTCGAAGCACATTGCGCACACTATGGGAATTTACGACTGTGCGTAAATTCCCCCTAATTTTGGTATGATCCGAGCTTGGGCACTAGGCGACTAAGCGAGGGGGCGGGGGGAGCTACTGCCTGCGAGTGTGCTGTTGGAAATGTGCAGCCAGGGAGACAGAGGAGAGCTTCAGTTTGACCAGGAAGCAAATCATCCGTACTGGACAAATAATGTAAATACGACGGTTTATCACAAAAGATTGATATCAAACTGATCACTTGGCCCATATTACGTTTCTCTTTCTTAGAGTGAATCAACAAATGGCGAAATGAAAAGCCGAACAACAACAATACTGTTTTTTAGAGAGTCTTAGCTTAGGCCTACATGTGTGTTTATT